TTGGTCAAACATTTAATGAAGTCACCCCTAATGCCTTGGCAGGGCCCGACCGAATGAGTTCTCGGACCTTATATGGCCTGCGGCCCCGACGTTCCCACGCCCGCCCCACCGTGAGCAGGCCCTGGTTCCTCCCGTGTCCCAGGAAGAAATGTGGCTGATCTGCTCCTCCCGCCTCCACCTCAGACCAACGAGAGAGATTTCTGAGCAATTCAGGTAGCAACAGGGCAGATCCAAGAGATCCTCCATTTCATTTCCATAAAGCAATAGAGACTCGACGGAAGGAAAAAATAAATCCCCAGGGGGGAAAAAACACCCCCAAAATTAACCATACTTGAAGCCCAGGTTTTAGGAAGGAGTGGAGCTAGTTATGCGTAGTCCGCGTTCCTGTGTATTGCACGCCTTTGTCCATTCAAGCACACGGTAGGCTGCTCTCGTGTGTTTCGTGTGGGCTAGAAACCCTTCCTTTTTTGGTATGCACAACAACTTTCCAGGGATGAAAGCATTTCAGACAAACAGGCTGATGTATCTGCCAGATGCAAGCAACATCGCTTTTGACTCCTGGTGACATTCTGTTTGTTACCAGAACCTTCTCTCGCGGGAGTTCGCAGTGTACATAGCCAGTCACAGACGCATCAGGCTTCTCTGCAGCGAAGGTCGGCTGGTCTTTCTGACGCTCGCGTCCTGCGTGGCTTTGACCGACGACGGGGAGTCACAAAAGATTTGGCAGGTTGCTCTGCACGGGTGGAAATCTTTCCCCGAGAATCCTTTAGCTATGGATGCACAACATTTGTTTTCAGAACAGATAATGCAATCTTACTTAAGTTCGAATAAGTCTTGAAGGAGGAAAGGAGTTTAAATTTGTTCTGTGACAAATAATGTTCCCGTTTTTGGGACTGAAAGTAGAAGGCAATATGTGAGTGTTTTAAGTGCTAGATAACTCATGTATATAAAATACTGCAAGGAGCCCGGCCAGCGTGGCTCCGTGGTTGAGCGTCGACCTATGAGCCCAGGATGTGGGCTCCATCCCCAGTAGGGGGCGTGCAGGAGGCAGCTGATCCATGATTCTCCTCATCACTGATGTTTCTATCTCTCCCTCCCTCTCCCTTCCTCTCTGAGATCAATAAAAATATATTTAAAAAATATAGATTTTAAAAAGAACACCCGTGCTTTTTCTGCCGACCTTCAAGTGCAAAACCTCCGTCTTCATTACGGGAAAGGGCACCAGGAGGGAAATGGAGGGAGATTTGGGGGCAGGCATTTCCCTGGAGGGTATGAAAGGCGGACGCTCACATCACTAAAACAGCCAAGACCACTGAGAAGCGGCCATCTATACAGAAAAGGGCAGTTTTTCAAACTCACAGGCCAAGCCAAGCAGGCCCCTGACAGAAATTAATTGAGGGCCTCGGCCCCAGTGCGGCTCCAAACACTCAACACTGAAATGTGGTTAAGCCCTGCCCCAAAGGGAACCAACCCGTCACCCAGATGTGGCTCAGAGGACCACCTGCCCCCAGGGCAGAGCAGGCCTGACACCCAGACCTGACGCCCAGACACTCGGGCGGCCCCTGCCCACCGGCAGCCCCGCGCAAGGAAAGGCGCCCCCGAATCAAAGCCAGGAGGCCCCCGACAGGCACGGGAGGTCAGAGGGCTCCGCAGAGCAGTCGGAAAAGCAGCAGCAACCCGCCTTGGGGGGGATGTCTTAGAGCAGCGGTTCTCAACCTGTGGGTCGCGACCCCTTTGGCAGTCGAACGACCCTGTCACAGGGGCCGCCTCAGACCATCCTGCATATCAGCTATTTACATGACGATTCATCACAGTAGCAACATGACAGTGAGGAAGTAGCAACGAAACTCATTTTATGGTTGGGTCACAACATAAGGGGCTGTATTTAAAGGGCCAGAAGGTTGAGAACCACTGCCCTACAGTTTATCTTCTGGGAGAAAGTGATACTTCTTTAAACACTGGCACCAAGAACACTTGCTATGTCTGCGAGGGCCCCGGAGGCCAAGTCCAGGCTCCATTAAGAGCTCCTGAGCTATGGCCTCTGAGTTCTGTCCCTAGATAACACCTGTCTTGCCCGGCCTGTGTGGCTCAGTGGTTGAACGTCAACCTATGAACCAAGAGGTCAGGGTTCGATTCCGATCAGGGCACCTGCCCGGGTTGCGGGCTCGATCCCCAGTAGGGGGCGTGCCGGAGGCAGCCGATCCAGGATTCTCTCTCATCACTGATGTTTCTCTCTCCTACTCTCCCTTGCTCTCTGAAATCAATAAAAATGCCTTTTAAAATAATAACAATAAATAAATAAATAAGGCCGTCTCCTTGGAGAGAAGCCAAGCCCCGTTTGGCCTCCCCCACCCGAGTGTCCCTGAGCAGGGGTGTGGCGACGATGCCCATGGCGGGTGTGGGTGGGGTCTCCCGGTGTCCCCACCTGGGGGGCTTTGGCCCTTCCCAGCAGGTTCCCACCATGAAGGCGGTTCCAATCCCTGCCGACCACCAGTGACACCTGATATTTCCTGCCCCATTGGGCGGCTTCAGTTCACCGTCTAGCTCTGTCCCAACCCCCGAGACGCGGGATCCAATCCATGACTTGCTAATGGCCTGAGAAAGGTCTGGGCTGAAGGCAGAGCATGCAACCCAATCCCGTCGTGGCGAGCGAACTCCCGTCTGGTCGGCAGGAGACGTCGCCCGCTGCCCTGGAGGGAGGCCTGCAGGGCGAACCACTGCCTTCGAGGCTGGAGGATGCCCAAGAACACTGGGCAGCAGATGTCCTGACCAGCCTTTATTTTTTTTCCTGGGCTTTTCCATGAGAAATGAGTGGACTGAGAAAGCCAGACCGTTTGTGGTGGAGGGAAAAAAAAAAAAAAAAAACCCGAACGGCATTGCTTAGAAAGAGCAAACCGTCGCTGCAAACAGGGTGTCTGCTCCCTTCTCTTCCTCCGCGTGTCGGACCCTCTGGCCCGAGGCCTCCTGCTGGGAGGGAGGCCGGCAGGCTCCCCAGCCCAGGCCCTCATTCCCTCCAGCTCTCCCCCTCGGAGGGAGCGGGAAGGGGGCTGCTGCTGATTCAAAAATCAGACACTTCTGCGGGAACTGGCAGCGACCGCGCTCCACCCCCGCCGGCCCTGGAACGCGAAGTCAGCACCTCGGCCACCCGGCCGGGGCCTGGCCCTGGGTGCCTCCCGGGACCACGATTCCTCTTCCTCTCCTGCCTCAGGGCGGGCCGGGCTGCCAGGAGCTTCCTCCAGCCACCTGGACGGTCCCGGCCAGTGTGCACTTGAAATCATCAACTGCATTCTGGGCCCGTCTGCCCGCAGCTCCCAGACAGATTTTCCTGTGGAAGCTGGAGGCCGGCTCTGCTTAGAGTTATTGGGGGGGGGTTGCATAACAGCCCAGGAGAGGACTGGGAAAAGATAACACAGTTCGCGTCCAATTCCTCTGCTTGGGGGAACGGCAGTCTCTCTCTCTCTCTCTCTCTCGACCGCCCTCTCTCTCTCTCTCTCTCTCTCTCTCTCTCTCTCTCTCTCACACACACACACACACACACACACACATAAACACAAGGCTGGGTGTGCTTTTCCTTTCTGTCTCCACGCTTGAGTTTTCGATTTTCTTTCTCAATCAATCAATGGGAATATTCCAGAAGAGGGCCAGGGTGCTTGCCCTAGACTGGTTTTTTCTGTGTTCTCACGGAGAATACGTCCAGAAGACAACGGAAAGGGGAAAAACACAGGATTACGACGGAGTGACTGCGATCGCTCAGGCTTCTGGAGGAAACATCGTTATGAAATATGTGCCATAGGAGACTGGCCCGTGTGGCTCAGTGGTTGAGCATCCTTTGTGGGCCATACAAAATGAGCCACTGAAAATTAGCCTGCTAGCCTGGCCGGTGTGGCTCAATGGCTGAGCATCAACCTAGGAACCAGGAGGTCATGGTTCGATTCCTGGTCAGGGCACAGGCCCAGGTTGTGGGCTTGATACCTAGTGGGGGGCGTGCAGGAGGCAGCCGATCCATGGTTCTCTCTCATCACTGATGCTTCCTTTTCTCTCTCTCCCTCCCTCTCCCTCTCCCTCCCTCCCTCTCCCTTCCTCTCTGAAATCAATAAAAACATTAAAAAAACAAAACAAAAAAACCAACAGCTGGCAAGAAGCCCGGTCTGGCCAAGCCTTCCCTGAGCGCCAGCCTCAGTTCCGTGAGCCCCTGGCAGCGATGTCATCAGTGTTGAAGCCAGTTTGATCTCTGTCATTTCCAACCACATGAATCTTAATGGATACAAAGCACAAGACCCAACTGATTATTTACTACAGCGTCCACACACACACACACACACACACGCACGCACGCACGCACACGCACGCACACGCATGCAAATTCTCGCATAAATCAGCAATATACAATCTCTCAATAGTCACAGTATTTCCTAAACACTGACTATGATCCCTTGTTAATGCTATACATGGACCAGGCGATATTACAAAATAACTGCATGTATTTAACAAGAACAATCAGGACAGAACTTAGATGGCTAAGGACCGTGATGCCTTCCTCTGAGGTTACCTTTGTCGGACGTGTTCTAATGAGCTCTCCCCCACACAAAACATGTAGGAGTCCGGGTGTGTGTGTGTGTGTGTGTGAATCCTCGCCGGAGGGTATTTTTCCCATTGATTTTTAGGAAGAGTGGAAGGGAAGGGGGAGAGACAGAGAGAGAGAAACACTGATGTGAGAGAGAAGCATCGATGTGAGAGGGAGACTTCGATTGGTTACTTCCCACACTCGGGTTAAACCTGAAACCCAGGTAGGTGCCCTTGACCGGGAATCGAACCTGCCACCCTTTGGTGCGCGGGCTGATGCTCTAATCCAGCGGTTCTCAACCTGTGGGTCACGACCCCTTTGGCGGTCGAGCGACCCTTTCACAGGGGTCGCCTAAGACCATCCTGCATATCAGATATTTACATGACGATTCATCACAGTAGCAACATGACAGTTATGAAATAGCAACGGAAATAATTTTATGGTTGGGTCACAACATGAGGAACTGTATTTAAAGGGTCAGAAGGTTGAGAACCACTGCTCTAATCACTGAGTCACAGGCCAGGGCAGGAGTCCTGCGGTGACAGTGCCTCGTAGCAAAAAGTCGTTTTATTATTTGAGTCTCTGGCTCTCCCATGACATGTCCCATCTAGCAGGGTGGAGCAGGAGGAGACGGAATTCAGATGCTCACAAGAGACCATGAGAAGTGAAGACTCTACCCCAGATCTGAAAGGAGACATGAAAATAGCCACAGAAGACAGACAAGGAGTTTTCAACTAAAAATAACCACGTAAAAAAAAAACACACACACACATCGAAAAACATTTCCAAAGAGCCCAAGTCCCATTTCAGTTGTTGAGAGTGGCCAAAAAACCTTCAGAAACGCACGCTCTCACCCAAAGGGGGAAAAGGGCTCCCACAGACTCCACATTCTCATGCCAAGTCCCAACCTTCCAAACTGGAGTGATATTTTATGAATCGGTTTATAAGGCCCTAAAAATAAGGAGCTCTAACCGAAATAGGATCAGCCTATCTCCTCTCTGGGAGCCCCAAGGACTGAGAGAAATGCAAGCTCAGCCCGGCCGGCGTGGCTCAGTGGTTGAACGTCGACCTAGGAACCAGGAGGTCACGGTTCAATTCCCGGTCAGGGCACATGCCCGGGTTGTGGGCTCGATCCCCAGTAGGGCATGTGCAGGGGATAGCCGATGCATGATTCTCTCATCATGGATGTTTCTATCTCTCTCTCCCTCTCCCTTCCTCTCTGAAATTAGTAAAAATATCTTTAAAAAATAAATAAAATAAGAAATGCAAGCTCAGTGGTTCCCTCCAGCTGGCCTTGACTGTATCGGCCCCTCTATGCCCCTCGAGAGCATGGCGGCTTACTTGCCCCTACTCACAGGTCAATCCAGTGCTTCCTGGAGGAGGAAGACTTATCCGACCCCCTCACCGGCATGAGCCAGCTGGCCACCCCTGCGCCATGGTCCCGGCTGGGGTAACACAGCCTTAAGGGCCAGGCCCAGGGGCATCCCTGGCCACCACGGTCAGCCATGAAGACCCCAATCCCGTGGGAAAATCTGGGTCCCTCCGATTCACCCTTCCGGGAAACTCCAACAATGCCAGCCGCTGGCGCCTCAGTAATAAATCAACGTTCCCTGTTGCTAAACTCCCAACGTTCGATGCTGATGATAAGCCTATTAATAGCGGCCATTGTCCTTCTCAACGGAGCAACCAAGTTCACCGAGACCCCGGAGCAAAGGAAGAAGGACCCAAAGCAAACATACACCTCTCTCCCTGGTCTGCGTTCCCCCCGGGGCAGGGCCTCCAATATGCCCGTCTCTCCGGCACGCACGACGGAGCCCGGGGAGGTGAGACGTGGGGGAGGCTATTTTCCAAGCTGCCTCAGGAACTGCTCTCTGCACCTCTGCATGACTGCTCTTGTTTTGACTTGGTTTCCAGCACATCCTCCCCGCCCTGCCTTTGTGAATAGTTTCATTTCCTTTGTTGGAGGCTAAACAGTCCGTCCTCCAAAGGATGCCTCCACTCCAACCCCAGGGACAGAAATGCAAACGCCAGCGCAGTTTATCCTCTCGTCAGCGATCCTCGCGTCACGCCCCTGCCGAGGGCGGCGGGCCACCGGCCCAGCATCCCACGCGCAACTTGACCAGCCGTGGACGGTGTGGGTTTGAGGGGAGGGGAAAGGAGGTTTCAACGGGCTTGCCCCAGGGCAGTGATGGCGAACCTTTTGAGCTCGGCGTGTCAGCATTTTGAAAAACCCTCACTTAACTCTGGTGCCGTGTCACATATAGAAATTTTTTGATCTTTGCAACCATCGTAAAACAAAGATTTATATGTTTGATATTGATTTTATAGATCTAAATGCCATTTAACAAAGAAAAATCAACCACAAAAATGAGTTCGCGTGTCACCTCTGACGCGTGTCATAGGTTCGCCATCACTGCCCTAGGACTTCATGGTACTTGGTAGTTTCCACTGATTTTACCCTGAGGTCCAGCCTCCCTGCTTTTGTGAGCGTGGTGGAAGGAACAGAGCAAAACCCTAATGCTTGGTGGCATTCTCTCTTCGTCCACCACTCGGAGCTCCCTGGGGTGGCAGGGATGACCTTGACCCAGCACGGTCAGCTCCCGTGCCTCCTAGTCCAGGGGGGGCCGCCACCTGGGCAGGGTCAGGACAGCTCGAAACAGCTGAGCGGAGCTGCAGGGCTCATTTCTAAATAACCAAGTCGCCCTCAAAGAGAGGCACCGCTCACGCAACTCCGCTGCGGGTGGGGACACACCGTGGGGGTGGGTCAGGGAACGTGCGACGGCGCCAAATGGGAGTCGGTCGTCCCATCTTCCAGACTCACCTGTTAGCACCTGGCAGAGCGGGCCCGGGGCCTGGGCCTGGGCGGAGGGGCTGGGTGCCAGGGACCATTTGCGCCTGAGCAGGTGTTCTCGGCCGCCGTGTGGGCCCCGGGAGCTGTTGAGGGGCTGGAGGAGCACCTGTTCCTGCCCCAGCTGGATGAGGCCGACCTGCCCGGAAAAGAAACACACAAAACACGGGATGTCAGTCACCCTCGTTCACACTCACCCGGGACCCAGCAGCCCAGGGGCAGCAAGGCCTGGTTCCCACACCTGGGCTTTCTCTTAGCAGGTGGCCCAGCGTCCGGAGCCCGCGGAGGAGCCTGTGTGTGCCTTGAGGCATCCCACCCGCAGCTGTGGGTGGTCCAAGCGATATATGCAGCAGCACCCATTTTCCAGGCTTGCTTTGAAATATCGTGTTATTAATAAAAGCAAATTTGAAAAAAAAACAAATATGATTTTTAAAAGATTTTTAGAGAAGGGGAAGGGAGAGAGAGAGAGAGAGGGAGAGAGAGAGAGAAACATCTATGTGAGAGCAAACATTGATCGGTTGCTCCTACACGCCCCCTACTGGGGATCACACCTGCATGTGTCCTGACCGGGAATCGAACCAGCAACCTTCCGGTGCACAGGATGACAATCAACCAACTGAGCCACCCTGGCCAGGCCAAACTTGATTTTTAAAATAATTTTTAAAACCATCCCCAAAAGTTTACCTGAGGAGGAGACCCCAAACGTGTTGGGAATGAATGACAATTCTGTCCTTAATGAGAAAATGGGTCTCCCCCGTGGGGATACTTAGAATTAAATAGAGGATGGAATCGGTCAGACATGTACCCTTCACCAGAATTGAACCTGCGACCCTTCCGTCTACAGGCCAATGCCCTGGCCACTGAGCCATGCCAGCCAGGGCCGAGGGTTTGTTTTTTAACCAAACAAAGAACCTAAAAATGAACCTGAATATGTTAGATTTCTAAACACAGTGTGAAGGGTCGAAAAGTTGTTAATCACCAAATTTGTAAGTGGGGCCCAAAATTCTTCAAAGCCCCCTAGAAAGGGGATTGCCAAGAGTTGCTGGATGATCAATGAAACAAGCTTTGTAAATTGAACGAAAACTATAAGAACTAGGATTTTTCATCGGTCGCTTTAACACAGCGGTTCTCAACCTTCTGGCCCTTTAAATACAGTTTCTCATGTTTTGACCCAACCATAAAATTATTTTCATTGTTACTTCATAACTGTCATGTCGCTACTGTGATGAATCGTCATGTAAATATCTGATATGCAGGATGGTCTTAGGCGACCCCTGTGAAAGGGTCGTTCGACCGCTAAAGGGGTCGCGACCCAGAGGTTGAGAACCGCTGCTTTAATAGAATGAATATTAATTCACGCAGACACACACCCACACATACACACACACACACACGATGTGTAGAACTGTTCCCCGAATTGGGACACACTCCTTCTCCAGGATCCTTCCTTCTCTCTGCCCCATCCTTTGTCTAAAAGCGATGACATACTAAACTAGCGTGTCTCAAACCAAAGTCCCCTGGACGTCCGGGTGGAACCCAGAACGTGCCCTCCTGCCAGGTCCCCAAGCGATACTGCCACTGCCACCCGGGGACGACACTCTGAGACGCTCTGCCGCCCCCACGACACAGCGATTCCTCCACGTCTCGAGCTGGGACCTCACTCAGGCCTCGCGAAGCAGACCCCTCCACCTTCCGCAAGGCAATCGATCGCCCCACCCGATCGCCGACAACCTTCCGTCCTCAACGCACAGGGTGAGACCATATGGACGGCTCTGAGCAGATGTCAAGGTCTCTAATTCATTAGAACGTCTGCCAAGAACAACTCAGAGATTTTATGGCCCAAATAAAACTCTTATAGTTGGCGGTGCGTGACCCGCAGGGAAGCACGGCCTGCGTGCCTCTCCCCTGAAGTTGCAACTCGAGCGTGAGGTCCTTCGGGGAGACCAGAGAAGCAGACGGGGGGAGGCAGCGGTGGGCTGCGGGGGGCCCACAGGTACAGAAAGCGGGTTCGGAATGGGCCATGGGATGGGTCCCGCCCGCACGAGCCCTGCACTCCCTGGAGGAGACACTCAACTCTAACAAGGGGCTGGATGGACTCTTCCCGAAACGCTCAGGCAGCTGGAGGTCAAAGGTCGCCTGGGGTCTAGCCCTTTCCAAGCCAGGTCGAATCTTTCATCCCAGGGATCTGCATTCACAAGGCCCGTGAGCAGGTAGTTTCAATGGAACTCGATACAGAGAGAATCTGACGTCGGTGAGAAATCCTACGGGTGCCAACACGCGGCCTAGCCCCGAGGGGAGATTTTACTTTAGAAGGTCTTGCTTTTTAAAAAAAAAAAATTTGTTATTGATTTCAGAGACAAAGGGGCAGGGAGAGAGAGAGATCCATAGACAGGTGCCTCCTGCAAGTTCCCTACTAGGGATGGAGCCCGCAACCCGGGCATGTGCCCTGACCATGAATCGAACTGTGACCTCCTGGTTCATAGGTCGATGCTCAGCCACTGAGCCACGCCTGCCGTCCTGGTTTAGAAGGTCTTGTTTGGAGGGTCCCACATCCTGGCTTGTCACCTCCTCTGCGCCCCCTCACGCCACTGCTATCATCAGAGACCCCCACGTCAATAGCCAGAAAGGCTCCTCCTTGCCCCGGGCAAGCGATCCCCCAAAGGAGGTCCCAAACCAGCAGCAGCACCTGGGACCCTGCCAGGAATTCCAGCTCTCGGGTGGGGTGGGGCCTCGCCACCAGGGAACAAGTCTTCCGGGGGAAGTCGGATGCCAGCGCCAGGATGAGAACCATGGCTCCTGGGTGAATTCCAAATGCCTCGGGTGGGCATCCAGGGCCCGGCCTCACCTACTCCACACACCTGTCCATTCCGCTCAGCTCCCACCATCTCCTAGAATAACCACCTCCCATCCCGATCCCACTCATCTCGGGATGGGCCTGGCCTCCACCGGGTCTTAGAACCCGAGACCCACCCCCGTCAGCCCCAATCCTTGCCTGCAGGCTCCACCACACCTTTGTCCTGGGTGGTTCAGGCCCGCCCTCCGAGGAACGGCCGGCATCTCTCCCTCCCTCTCTCGGAGGCTGGATGGGAGCCAACCAGAGAGGCCTGCGCTTGGCAGGTGTGTGACAGTGAGCCGGTTGCTGTCAACAATGCTGGCTGCCTGGCTGATTTATAGCTGGGAAGGCCTGGGAACGGCCTGTGGGGCAGGAGCAGAGACGTGTCTCCCAGGCCTGGTGGCCAGCTCTCACTCAATGATTGCACAGGCTTCGCCCACGGCCTCTCTCCACGAGCAGCTAAGGGACTCGCTCTAAGATCACAGCCCCAGACGGCCGGCCGTGCAGTCTCATTTCCTGAAGAACAAGAACGTGCCTTGGCTGGCGTGGCTCCATGAGTGAGCGTTGACCCATGAACCAGGAGGTCACGGTTCGATTCCTGGTCAGGGCGCATGCCCAGGTTGCGGGCTCCATCCCCAGTAGGGGGCGTGCAGGAGGCAGCTGATCCATGATTTTCTGATTCTCTCTCATCACTGACGTTTCTCTCCCTCTCCCTTCCTCTCTGAAATCAATAAAAATATTTTTTTTTTTAAAAAAAGAACAAGAACATGACTGCGCATCCGTGCGCAGGGAGAGGTTAACCGGTGGCTCTGCGAGGCCCTCTGAGGTTCTGGCTGCAAAAACCTCTCCCCCTGGACACATCCGAGGTCGGCCGGCTGCAGCGGCTCAGAGTTCAGGAAATGAACTCCAAGAATGCGATCCGTCTGAGATGCCTTCAGTTCATCATCCCGTCTCCAGCTCCGTTTTCTTTTCCAAGACGTTGCCAACAAAGCGAAAGTTCAAACGAGGGAATCTCATTACGTGCCCTGGGTGACGGTCACGGGCAGCCCGACGCCCCGGAGCGGTGGCGGATGGACAAGGTCACTTCAAGGCCACGGGGGCGTCTTTGCAGAGAAAGCTTCGCATTCTCTGGTCCAAGTTCTTCCCTGTCTGTCCCTCTGTCCTTCCAAATTCCACCAACTGTTCTCTGCCTTCTTCTTCCGTTCCTTCGCCGCCACTCAACTATCTCTTTTCACGGAGCTTCCAACAACGGGCTTTGTGTCTTGCAAGTATGTTTACGCTGCCCCCGGATGAGTAATATTCATCAATGAGTCACCCGGGACGAGGCCCCTTCCCGACACCTGTACCAATATAACGGCGTGTGATTGTGCGGTTTGGTCTACTTGCTCCCTTCCAAATGGTCCCCGCACCATAGAGTTTTTGCCAAGACGAATTCCCGCTGCTGCTCTATGTGGCCATGTGGTGTTGCATGAAAAAGCAGGCAATTTTCTAAGCAATCCGGAGTCTGGTAACTCTTTGTTTGTTGTTATTAATCCTCACCCGAGGATATTTTCCCACTGATTTTTTTTTAAAGAGTGACTGGAAGGGAGGGGGAAAGATAGGGAGAAAGAGACACATCGATGTGAGAGAGAGACATATCAATTGGCTGCCTCCCGCTCGTGCCCCAACCAGAGCTGGGGATCGAGCCTGCAACCAAGGTATGTGCCCTTGACCGGAATCGAACCCTGGACCCTTCAGTCTGCAGGCCGACGCTCTATCCACTGAGCCACACCCGCTAGGGCATGGGCCCAGCTTCTTAACCTCCTGCAGTCCGGAGCTCCCGGGTGTCCGGGCTGGTCCCAGCATGGCCCTGGCAGCCCAGCCTCGGCCACGAAGCGGGGGACAGAGCCTGACGCGTGGACTACCCAGTTTGTCAGCGTTCATCGGTAGCAGCAGGGTCACTGCTCGGCTACCCGACCCTGCAGGCAGGGCCCGGCCCCCCCTCCCCCACTGTGTGTCCTCACGGGCAGGGGTAGCAGTCCTCCCCTCTCTCACCACAAGCGGCACAGACACTCATTCCAATCTTGGAGTTCCGTCTCCACTGCCAATCC